GGGGGGGGGGGGAAAGCCAGGCTGGGAAAGTGGTTTATTTGGGCCTTATCTCCAAGGAAAGGATCGGACGGACGGACGGACGGACAGCCCCTCCGCCACATCCCGAGGTCCTGCCTCCAGCCGGCACTGCCGCCGAGGTGTGCCAAGCCACGCCAGTCCGCCTCGGCGCCGAGCAGTTAATCCCTCCAGTGAAAGCTTAAAAAAAAAATATATATATATATATTTATTCTGTGTGGAAAAGGCCCTCAGCTGAGCTGTTTTCCCTGGCCTAAATTAGGTGAAATGTCACTGTTTTGCAACAGGGAAAAATTGCAAGAGGAAAAAAAAAAAGAAACAAACAAAATATTTAGAGACAATCGGGCTAAACGTGAAAATCAACATTTTAAATTTTGAACCTTTTTTTTTTTTTTAAACCCACAAAAAGCCATTTTAGATGGGCTGTGCAAACCCTCTGGGGCTCTGATGGCAGCTCGGATCCCCCCCCCCAACGTGTTTGTGTGGCTTTTGCCACCGCGGAGGGACACCAGAGCCCGGGAACTCAGCCACAAGCCCTTGCAGCAGGTGGGTCAGAAATGGGGACTCCTCACAGACACCCCCAAACGCTCCCCTCCCCGCGCTGCGCCTTGCTTCTGACCAAGGGAATTTTTTTTTTATTTGCTGTTATTTGAGTAATTAGTATTTTTGCAAATAAAGGTGCAGTAAGGTGGTGCGACTGCAGCCTTGTGGGAGTTTTTTTATTTTCATTTTCACTTGTTCAGTGCACGAACAGTAACAGAGTTCTGCTGTGCACCTCGAGGAGATCCTCGGGCTGTCGCGGGCAGGCTGTGGCCCTGCCTGCACGGGCAGGGGTGCAGGCAGCAGAGCCGAGGGCAGCCTGATGGCACAAAGCACCCCGTGATGCTGTGGGCACCCTGGCACCCCCACCCCCAGCACCGGGGCTCTCCCCGGGGTGATGCTACGACGTGACCCAGCTCTCCAGCTCTGTGCTCCCCCCCTCCTCATTACCAAACCTATTAATTATTTTTTCTTTTTCCCTTGCAACTCACACCCTGCCACCAACCACCGCTGCAGGTTCCCGCCACAAATCACCCCCCCCAGCCGCATTTCACTGGGTTAAGTCAAGCTCAGATGCGAGCTTGACCTAAATCCACACACACCCCCCCCTCCAGCCAGGCCGGATCCCGTGGCAGTGACCTCATTGACATCTCCCAGAGAATAAAAAAAAATCTCTTTGCAGGGTGAAAGTGGGAAGGACGGCGTGCAGGCAGAGGCCTTCCTCCATCACCGGCGGGTTTCGGAGGCGGGGATGGCAGCAGCGGGTCCGGCCAGCGCCGGTGGCACGCAGAGCCCTCCTGATGGCACCCGGCGTGGCTCAACCACGTGAGGCTGGCAGACGGACGGGCAGCTGCCGGATCTGCAGGCCTTGGGCTGAAAAACACCAGCCATGTCCCTCCGTCTCTAGAAAACAACGGCTAGCAGCAACGCTGGGCTCGGAAAAAGCTGGTGAGGGCGATGGGATTTATCCCAGCCCCATGGAGAGAGTTGGGGGGCACAGGCAGGAGCAGGGGCAGATGCCGGCCCCGATGGTTGCCCCATAGAAAGGCTCCGGGCAAAGGGGCACGTTGCTCCCCACACCCGCCGTGGGCAGGTGTCTTCCATGGGGTCAGCAGCCCTGCTGATTGCTCTCGTTAATGAGATTACAGGTAATCAGGGTCAGTTTAGTGCCAGCACAGTCTGGAGGAGGGGGGCTGGGGTCTGCCCTGCGGTGCGTTACGACATCCCCGGGCAGGCGGCTCAGCATGTGTCGGGTGTGTGTCGTCCCCCGGCAGCAATAGGGCAGCACCCCAGGGTGCAGGGAGGGTGGGTGGTGAAGGGGGGGGTGAGTATCCCGGGATGGCCACAGGGAGCATTCTGGGATGTCAGGATGCAGGAAGCATCCCGGGATGTCTGTGGGGAGCACCCTGGGGTGACCATGGGGAGCATCCCAGGATGGCTGCAGGGAGCATCCCAGGATGACCATGAGGAATATTCTGGGATGGCTGCAGGGAACATCCCAGGATGACCATGAGGAGCATTCTGGGATGGCTGCAGGGAATATCCAGGGATGGCTGTGGGGAGCATCCCAGGAGGATGTCTGTGGGGAGCACCCTGGGGTGACCATGGGGAGCATCCCAGGATGGCTGCAGGGAGCATCCCAGAATTACTATGGGGAGCATCCCAGGATGACCATGAGGAATATTCTGGAATGGCTCCAGGGAACATCCCAGGATGACTATGGGGAGCATTCCAGGATGGCTACAGGGAACATCCCAGGATGATCCTGGGGAGCATCTCAGGATGTCTGTGGGGAGCACCCTGGGGTGACCATTGGGAGCATGCTGGGATGGCTACAGGGAACATTCTGGGATGGCTGCAGGGAATATCCAGGGATGGCTGTGGGGAGCATCCCGGGATGGCTGCAGGGAGCATCCCAGAATTACTATGGGGCGTATCCCAGGATGACCATGAGGAACATTCTGGGATGGCTGCGGGGGAACATCCCAGAATGACCCTGGGGAGCATCCCAGTATGGCTGCATGGCTGCAGGGAACATTCTGGGATGGCTGCAGGGAACATTCTGGGATGGCTGCAGAGAGCATCCCAGGACACCATGGCAAACCTCTTGTACAGCTGCACTGAGCATCTTGGGGTAGGGTGGGGGGCAGACACCTCCAGAGGAAACTGCTGCTCTTTTGTGTGGGGCGAGATAAATAAGGTGACACCCCCACCCACCGCAAATGCCCAGCCTGAAAGAAAAACCCCACTTCCTTTCTGATTTTATTCATTTTTTTATTAAAGCCTGATACAGAGGTGGGTGGGGAAGGGAAGAAAAAAAAACCCGAAGCTCGCAATATTCTTTATTTCAGATACATAATTAATAAAACTAAACCAACCCAAACACGAGGTAGCGCAGCCCCAGGCACAGCTGCCCCCCC